GGGATGGGATGGGATGGGATGGGATGGGATGGGATGGGGATGGGATGGGGATGGGATGGGATGGGGGCAGCAGGACGGGCTGGTGGGATGCAGGGACTGGCACCTGCCTCTGTGACGGGTCCGGGTGCTCTTCCCACCCGCAGAGTACCTGAAGGAGGAGCTGGATCGCTACGTGGAGCAGCTGCAGATCGTGCGCGTGGTGCGGCAGCGGGAGCGCAAGGGGCTCATCACGGCGCGGCTGCTGGGGGCCAGCGTGGCCAGCGGGGAGGTGCTGACCTTCCTGGATGCCCACTGTGAGTGTCCGCCCCGTGACACGCTGTGACACCGCGAGCGTCCAGCCGCCGGGCGCTGCGAGAGGCGCTGGCCCCGCTCCACTGTCCCCGTGTCCCAGGCGAGTGTTTCCACGGGTGGCTGGAGCCGCTCCTGTCCCGCATCGCCGAGGAGCCCACGGCCGTCGTGAGCCCCGACATCGCCACCATTGACCTCAACACCTTCGAGTTCTCCAAGCCCGTCCAGAACGGGAAGCAGCACAGCCGGGGCAATTTCGACTGGAGCCTGACTTTCGGCTGGGAGATCGTTCCCGCGCGGGAGAGGCAGCGCAGGAAGGATGAGACATTCCCCATCAAGTAAGCCCAGCACGGGACTCTTTATCCAGCTGGGTTTGCTCTCTTTTCCAACAAATTGGTGTTTTCCTTGGTTTTGGTGCCTCTGGACGGGCAGTGCTGCCCCTTCCCAGCGGGGTTCTCCGTGGGATTTTGACGTGGGAGATGGCAGGGTGTTCGTGCCCGAGCACGGTCAGAGCTGCGGGGATGGTGGAGGACAAACCTCCCTTGGGGCTTGGGGAACGCGGGGCCAAAACGGACCTTGGAATCTCCTCCTCGCTCCTGCAGAGCTGCCCATGAAGGATTTAATTGCTGTCGGTACCTTCTGACCCTCGGATGCCCAGGTGCCCCCGCACAGAACCGGTCCCCTGTGGATCAGGCTGTGCCAAAAGCCCTTTTCTTATCCCTCAGTTTTACACGCAGACAGAGCAGGGGTTTTTCCCTGGTGCCCCACTGGGAGACACCGGACACCCCGCGCGGGCCCGGCCCCACGGCGGCCGCGGGGCTGGCTTTGTGCACGGGTCACCTGGGCGACGCTGCTGTCCCAATAAAAGCCCCTTTCACCTCCAGCCGGGCACTTGGCTCCCGGCACTGCCTCGTCTCCAGCAGCTCAGAGAATCCTTGGGGTTTATTATTTTTCCTGAATAAAAGCGAGGTTCTGTTCCAGCCTCAGATGGAAAAGATTAGAGAAGCAGGAGGAGGGACTGGGGCACCGGGCTCTGACCTCCTCCTCTTTTTGGCGACAGGTTTTTAGTAACAATATCCTCTTTTCACTTTGAATCCAGCCGGCAGCGAGGCCCCTTTGTGTCATGCTGTCACCTCTGTCCCCCCCCAGCAGCCAGGCCCAGCCTGTCCACCAAAGCCACCACAGCTGGATGGAGGGGGATTCTGATTTTGGGGCTGTGATGTCCCAAAACTCAGATTTCTGCTCTTTTATTTGTGTTTTACCCCTTCTTTGCCCACTGCAGGTCCCCGACCTTTGCAGGTGGCCTCTTTGCCATCTCCAGATCCTACTTCGAACACATCGGCTCCTACGATGACCAGATGGAGATTTGGGGGGGTGAGAATGTGGAAATGTCCTTCAGGGTAAGGACGGGGGGTCACCTTCCAAGGGCACCTGCAGGGAGCTCCCTGCTGGGGGGCCCGGGGGCTGGACCCCCCCACCTCAGGTGTGGCCTCCCCGCAGGTGTGGCAGTGCGGGGGACAGGTGGAGATCATCCCCTGCTCCGTCGTGGGCCACGTGTTCCGCTCCAAGAGCCCCCACACCTTCCCCAAGGGCACCCAGGTGATCTCCCGGAACCAGGTGCGCCTGGCCGAGGTCTGGATGGACGACTACAAGGAGATCTTCTACCGCCGGAACCAGCAGGCCTCCCAGATGGCCAGAGAGGTGCTGGACACACGGGGGGCTGCAGCTTCTACTGGGAGGGCTGGTCCTGCTGGGAGCTCTGCCCGAGCAGCAGGAGTGGGTGGGAAACCAGACAGGTGGACAAAAGTAGCCAAAACCCTTTTTTTTTCCTTTCTCCCTCTGGCCAGAATGTTTCCTAGTAGGAAAGCATTGGGGTTTATGAATTTCTTTTTTTTTTTTTTTTTTAGCACTAAAACTTTTTATTCTTTTCTTTTTTCAACACCAAAACTTCTTATTCTTCACCAAAATATCTCCAAGCTCTTGGGGGAGCCTGTGGGTACCCGTCAGGTGACCCCCCAACTTGTCTTGGTGCTGGTCACACCATGAGGGTTGATGGCAAAGCTGGGGTGACTCCCAGCTCTGAGCCCCAACACGGAAAGGGTTTTTTGGGGATTTTCCCCTACTGTTTTCTGAAGTGAATTTAATTTTCACCTGTGACTCCGCCGATAGAAGACGTTTGGTGACATCACAGAGCGGCGCAGGCTGCGGGAGCGGCTGCACTGCAGGAACTTCACCTGGTACCTGCAGAACGTCTACCCCGAGATGTTCGTGCCCGACCTGACCCCGACGTTCTACGGAGCAGTGAGTGCCGGGCTGGCCGGGGCACCGCGGGCTCGGCCCCGGGCGGGGAACCGCGGGGGGAGCGCCCGAGGTTGGGTGTGGGGCTTTGCATTAACCCGGGGAGGGGAGCGGGTGCTGCCACGTCTGTCCCAGGTCACTGCGCCTGTCCCCGTGTCTGTCCCCGCTCGCTGCACCTGTCCCCGTGTCTGTCGCTGCTCCCCGTGTCAGTCTGTCACCTCATCTGTCAGTCTGTCACCTCATCTGTCAGTCTGTCACCTCTTCTGTCGCTGCTCCCCGTGTCAGTCTGTCACCTCATCAGTCACCGGCTGGCGGGGCCGGTTTGGACTCCGGCTAAGCTGGAATCCGGCAGAGCTGGTTTGGGGTGAGTCCCAGGGTGGGGAGCCCATGGGGATGTGGATTTGGGTTAAAGTCAGGGGAAGAGCTGAAAACTTCCTTGAGCCCCAAACACTGTCCTGGCACAGGGAGGGCTGGAATAACTGAGCTGGGGATGGGACGTGGAGCTCCATCTCCATCCCGTGGGAATCTGGGCACGGGTGGGAGGCAGGAGCCCACCTCCAGCCACCCATCCAGAGGGAAGTGGAGACAGGCAGGACGTGGAGGGCTGGCTCTGTCCCTGAGGGAGCTGGGGACAGCAGGACGCTCTGGCTGCATCCCCAAGGAACTGAGGGCAGGCGGGATGAGGGGCTCCAGCTCCATCCCTGACTGTGGGATTCCCCTGAGGCTGGAAAAGCTCTTTCCCTCAAGCTGGGGGTTGGATCCCGAGTCTGCCCCTCCCCAGCCAGGGCGATGTGACAGCAGCCGGCCCGGTGACAGCCAAGTGCTGGGTGCTGGCTCTCATCCAGCTTTTAATTCACCTTTATTTCCTGAAACCTCAGCCCGAGTGCCTTTGCCTTTGCTCCGTGTGCCGGAGGCGATGGCTCGGGCGTTCCTCATGTCCTGGAAAGGACACGGGACCCGGAGCCGGCGCTGCGTGCCGGGATCGTGTTTGCACCGCGATAACCCAGAGCCCCGCACAGCCGAACCCGAGCCGCTCCTACCCCGGCTCCTCTGAGCCCTTCTTTCCTCCACTCTCCTGGAGCCTTTTTCCTCACTCCTGCCCCTTTTTTCCCCCCTCCTTCCCCCCTCTCCTCCCCTCCTCATCCCCGCTCCCATCGCCTTTCCCCTCCCTTTTCCTCCCACCTCTTTCCCCCCTCTCTCCATCTCCTTTTTCACTCTCGTTTTTCTCCCCGCTCTTTTTCCCACCACCACCTCTCCTCTTCCCCCCACGCCACAGATAAAAAACGAGGGCACCAAGAGCTGCCTGGACGTTGGGGAGAACAACCACGGTGGGAAACCTCTCATCATGTACCCCTGCCACGGCCTGGGGGGCAACCAGGTGAGCCCCCAAAGCATCCCCATCATTTCCCCCTCTGCCGCCCCCCGTTTCTCCCCGGGGCTCAGCTCCCGGGGCGCGGCAGTGACGGCCCCGCCGGCTCTTCCCGCAGTACTTCGAGTACACGAGCCAGCGGGAGCTGCGCCACAACATCGGCAAGGAGCTGTGCCTGCGCGGGGCCGAGGGCACGGCCGAGCTGGGCGAGTGCCAGTTCCGAGGGAAGCCCGGCCGGGTGCCCGCCAGCGAGGAGTGGGACCTGGCGCAGGTGAGGAGAACTCCCCGTCCCGGGCATCGCCCCTGGGCACGGCCGCACCGTGCCCGCCACGGCGCTGCTCCCCCGGGGCCGTTTCCCCTCGCTCGCATCCCGTGCTCACCCTCTGGCCGCTCACTGATCGCTTGGGTTGGTTTTTTTTTTCGGCAGAACCGGCTGATCAAGAACTTGGCCTCGGGGCTGTGTCTGACGGCGCGGGGGAAGCACCCGGCGCTGGTTCCCTGCGACCTCACGGACCCGCACCAGCTCTGGTCCTTCACCTAAAAGGGAGCGGAGCTCCCGGCCGCGCCGGCCACGCTCAGGAAACCAGGATCCAAAAAACTTCCTTCTTCGCTTTAATTTAAGACGTGAAAGCCTTAAATATGCTGCATTTCGTGGTTGCCTTGGACTGGATCCCGTGCCTTTGGGAGCCGGGCTCTGCCGGGGGCGCCCCGCGGACCCCGAAACGCCGCGGGCGTGGCGGGGCCGCTCCTGCGGATGCTCCTCGGAAGGCGCTGCTCGTCCTCCCCACCCCGGCTGCAGCCAGAGACTCTTAAATTCAGATCCGGCATTAAAAACGTGGATGCGCCTCCCCAGGTGTGGAATCTGGACGGGAAAATCCGGCGAGGAGGAGGACGGAGCCCGTGGGGCTCCTCCCGCCGAGGGAGGATCGGGGCTTGCGGTGGCCCCTGGCGGGCAATGGGAGAAGTTGGGATCTGTGCCTTAGGAATCACGTTGGATTTCGAGGCGGGAGGGGGGGAAGTTCGATATTCAGTTTTATTATTGTTATTATGAAATGATGATGATTCCTGAGTGCGACTCTCGTGCTGAGCAGGAGTTTTCCCTGGATGGCGCCACAGAATCCTTCTAAACAGGATCCCGAGTGCCACATCTCCTCTGTTACAGATATTTTTGTCTATCCCAACTTCTGTAGCTGCCACTTTTGTTGCCATTTCATTATAGTGGGGGAAAAGTCCTCCTGGACAAGGCAGGAGGGGGGAGAACCTCTGTCCTAGACACTCAGCCTCAAATAAAGAGATGATTTATTTTACACGAATCTTGTCTCCAGCCATTCTGAGCTCTCCACACTCCTCTGACCTCATATCCTTCAGTGTTCTTGTCCTAGAAACTCCCTATTTAGCCCAAAACTGAGTTTGCAGCCCTTTGTGTCACAGCTGGGGGATCAGCTTTGCACTGGGGATCCGGTGCTGGGAGGGACCCTCAAGGACCGTCGAGGCCGTTCCTGGCCCTGTGCAGGACAAAACCCCAATGGACAGGTTGTGGTCAATAAGGTCTCTGACCTCACAGATTGTGAAATCGCCAGAACTGGAACGGACCCACAAAAGTCACCTGTTGGTTCTGCAAAAGACAACCCCAAAGACGCCCAAAATCCAAGAGTGTTGTCTAAGTACTCCCTGATGTACAGACTCAAGGTGATACAGAGTAAAAATTTAACAAGGTAGAAATCCATTTGAATTTAAGTGAAATGTGCTGTAAATAAACATACCCATTCCCTACAAATCTTTATTAGAATTGTGGGGTTTGATTTTTCATCCGCATTTCAGAGGTATCATGGAAATCCTGAGTTGAAAGACATCCACTGGGAACAAAGAATTGTGGAACATATGGAGTAGGATAGGACGTAAGGTGTGTGTTCAATGTTTGTCCATGCACAGGACAATCCCAAGAACCTCAGTAATTAGGAAATCCGATGTTTTTAGCCCAAAAATGAGTTTGCAGCCCTTTGTGTCACAGCTGGGGGATCAGCTTTGCATTGGGGTGTCCCTGTGTGGGGCAGAGCTGTTGCTGCTGTCCCTCAACACATGCCCTCGACAGAACAAACATGGGATTACTTGGAAATGGAGTTCCTGGGAAATCCCGTGTTTTCCTTGGAGATAAGGGCAGAACTGCAGCAGGTGCTTTTGATTGCCTTCACTTTTTCTGGCCTGGCTGACCCCATGAACCCGGTGATCCCAAATGCCAGCTGTGCCTGTGCCTCGAGGGCCAAGGTCCCCCCCAAAACAACCCGAGTTTGGAGTTCAAGGGGGAAAAAATGACACCGTTTTGGCCAAAACGCCGGGGTTTCTTTCAAACCACATCGCTGCTTCGTTCTGCCCCAAGCTCAGGCCCCAGGGAGGCCGAGCCCCGGCGCTGCCCCAGCGCTGGCTGCGCTGGGGGCTTGGGGAGGGGCTGAAGGTCGTGGCCTGGCTGTGCCTCGATTTCCCCGTCCCGGCGCCGATGCGGCCGCATTCGGGTGCTGGATCCAGCCCTGGGAGCCATCGCACCGAGCGAGGCCGCGGAGAGCGGCAGCCGAGGCCCGGCGGGCTGAGAGCGGCCCCGGCGGAGCCGGCGCTGCGGCCGCGGGGCCGGGAGCCGCCAGCGCGGGGCAGCGTCCCCGGGATCCGGCGGCGCTCGGGCTGCCCTGGGGTGCCCGGGCGCCGCGTGTGCCTTGGCGGAGGGGCCAAGGCCGCTCGGGGGCCGCGGCACCTGCCGCCCTTCCCGCGCCTCCTCCCGCGGCCCCGTTAAAGCGCCCGCGGGGCAGCCCCGGCCCCGCGGCGGACAGCGCTCCACGATGATGCTGCAGCTCGTGCTCCTCGCCGCGCTCGCCCTGTGCGGTGAGTCCCGCCCGGAGCCTCCGGCCTCGGCAGCTGCCGAAGGCCCCGGGACCCACCCCGCGGGGGGCTCACGCCGCGCCTCTGTCCCCAGGGCGCTGCTCCGAGCTGGATCTCGATGGCATGCAGCGGGTGGTCGGCGGCACCGAGGCGCGCTCGCACGCCTGGCCCTACCAGGTGGGTCCTGCCGGCGTCCCGCGGCCGGGCCCGGGGCTCTCCCCGCGCCGGGACCCCGCGCTGAGCCCCGCGCCGCCTCTCGCCCCCTCCCCAGATCTCCCTGCAGTATTACTCCAACGGCGGCTGGCACCACACCTGCGGGGGCTCCCTCATCCAGAGGAACTGGGTGATGACCGCCGCCCACTGCGTCAACAAGTGAGCGGCCCGCGGCCCCCTCCTTCCTCTCGCCAAAGCTCCTTTCCCCCAAAATCCTTTCCAAGGAGAAATTCTGCCTGCCCCGGCCACCAGAGCGGCCGCCCTCGGAGGCCTTTGGGGCTCCTCAGGCAGGGGCTCCAGGGGCTCCTCCGGGAGCGTCCTCTCCCCGCTCGGAGCCTCCCGGATCAGCTCCCGCTCGGGCTGAGCGGAGCTCGGGGCTGACGGAGGGCTTTTTGCACCTTGCCGGCAGACAATTGCAGTACCGTGTGGTGGCCGGCGAGCACAACCTCAACGTCAACGAGGGCAGCGAGCAGGTCTTCAGCGTCAGCAAGATCGTCGTCCACCCCTACTGGAATAGCAACAACGTGGGCGCAGGGTAACGCCCGCGGGAGGGGCACCTGGGGGCAGCGCGGCCGGGCTTTGGGCAGGCTCCCCGTAACATGCCGTCCCTCCCCGCGGCAGCTACGACATCGCCCTGTTCCGCCTGAGCAGCTACGCCACCCTGAACAGCGCCGTGCAGCTGGCGGTGCTGCCCCAGGAGGGCACCGTCCTGCCCAACAACTACCCCTGCGTCATCACGGGCTGGGGCCTGACCCGCAGTGAGTAACGGGCTCCCCCCGCCCCGAATCGCCGCGCCCGGGCACCGCCGGCAGCCGCGGCGGCGCTCGGAGCCGCGGACGGCGCCCGGAGGCTTCGCCCGGGGCTCCGCCCGGGCCACGCGGGCGCCCAGCGCCGGCCGGGGCCGCGCCGAGCCCGGGGGGCGCGGACGGGCCCGGGGGGGCTCGGCGGGGGCCGCGGGCTCGGCTTTGCCGGCGGCGTCCGGCGGCTCCGAGGCGGCGCTGACCGGCGCCGGCCCCGCGCAGGCAACGGGCAGCTGTCCAGCGTCCTGCTCCAGGCCTCCCTGCCCGTCGTGGACTACCAGATCTGCTCCAGCGCGTCCTACTGGGGCTCCCTGGTCAAGAACACCATGGTGTGCGCCGGCGGCGACGGCGTGCGCTCCGGCTGCCAGGTCCGGCCGCGGCCCCCGCGCCGCCCCCGCCGCCCCCGCGCCCCCCCAGCCCCGGCTCACGCCGCCCCTCGCTCCGCAGGGCGATTCCGGCGGGCCGCTGCACTGCGCCGTCAACGGGCAGTACCAGGTGCACGGCGTCACCAGCTTCGTGTCCAGCCAGGGCTGCAACGTGCTCCGCAAACCCACCGTGTTCACCCGCGTCTCCGCCTACGTCTCCTGGATCAAAAGCGTAAGGCGGCCGCGCCGGGCCGGGCCGCGCCGGGCCGGGCTCAGCCCCGGCGCTCTCGGGGCTCCGCTGCGCCGGCCCCGGCCCCGCGCGGCTCAGCCCGGCCCTCTCTCCCTTCCAGGTGGTCGCCCAGAACTGAGCCCGGCCGGACAAGCGCTCGCTGCCCCTGGCCCGTGGCCATGCCCTGACCGTCCCCCGCCGCGCTCCGGGCTCCTCGCACCCGAGCCGGCCTCAATAAAATCTCTCCTCCCGTCTCGGTGCCTCCGTGCTGCCTTGCCCCGCGCCCGCCCATCCTTCCTCCTCCGGCCCGCCGTCCTCATCGCCGCCCAGCTCCCGCACCAGCCCTTCCCCGCCTCCTCCTCTTCCTCACTCCTCAGGGAAGAGCCCTGGGGAGCCGGAGCTGGCTCCGAGCTGTCGGGGCAGCCCCAGCGTCTCTGGGACGCTGGAAAAGGGGGAAATGCTGCAGATCCCCCTCCTGGGCAGCGAGGCAATTGCCCCTTGGCCGTGCGGGGGCACGCGGAGGATTCGGGGCCATCCCATCGGCATTTCCCCTGCCGCTCGCTCCATTTCCCTTCCCAAAATGACCTCCTCGGCCATGAGAGCTGTCGGATTCGGGCACTGCCACCTCCTCGTCCCTCAGCTGCATCCTGGCGCTGTGCCACAGCCCCCCGGCCTGGGGACAAACCGCCAGCACCAACGTGCCCCAAACCCCCACTTTACACCCCAACCAGACACTGCGGGGTGGATCCGGCGCCCGCTGGGAGTTCCTCCCACCCCTCGGTCGCGTCCTGCCGAACAAAACACCCAAGAACGACCAGATGGCTCTGCCAGCCCCGCGGTGGCCGCGGGAGCCGTGGCTGTGCCTGGCACTGCTGAACCCCCGCGGGCTGTGCCCGGTTCTGCCCCTCCCAACCAGAAACACACCGAGGGGCTGGAGCACGTTCAGAGGAGGGAACAGAGCTGGGGAAGGGGCTGGAGCAGCTGAGGGAGCTGAGGAGGCTCAGCCTGGAGGAAAGGAGCCTCAGGGGGGACCTTCTGGCTCTCCACGACTCCCTGAGAGCAGGGGACAGCTGGGGGAGTCAGGTTCTGCTCCCAAGGAAACGGGACAGGAGGGGAGGACAGAGGCTCAGGTTGTGCCGGGAGAGGCTCAGCTTGGACACCAGGAGATCGACACAATCCCCTCCCTTGGGCAGCTGCGGTTCCAGCCCTGGCTCCCCACGGCAGTTCCGGTTGTCCTGTTCCACAAAGCCTTTGATTCCCCGTGCAGTGACCCCGCACAGCCCCAGCTGGTGCCTCTGAGGAGGAGCCCCTCGGGTTTATCTCCTCACAGTCCAAGAGTGCAAGTTTCACTCTTCCTCTCAAATCTTTGGCTCCTCTCGTCTCTCCCAGTGCCCACACACTTGGCGGTGCCACTGCTCTCCAAAGGCTCAGCACTTCACAGCCT